TAAGCTTTCTAGCATGAACTGTTTAAAGGCAAGGTTTGCGGTATGGATGTACGAGTTTTTGTTAAGCCGTTTCAACATCTTGTTGTTTGAGACTATGATGGGGTTGATCTGACCAACGAGCTTCACAAGGTGAAGAACTGTGACCACGATAGGGAAGTGAAGGTTTGGTGAGGACAACAATTAGAGAAATGCAATAGTCTCAGAGACATTTTCATATTTGTGCAAACAAGTTAGAATTCGAAGATCTGAGTTTGGTCCTAGATGCAGTATGTCCCTTTTCTGGTAGTTAAGGTACTTTCGTTTCGGATCGTACATGCTCCTTAAGACCATAGGGACACGGACAACCCCGGCATTTAGTAGCGAATAAAGGATTAAGAAGGCGTAAGTGGCCTGTGATATGTACTGCAAAAACAAACCATAAAAATATGTTTAGTTTTGTGACAAAATCAATAATAACAATAATACTCTTTTAGGAGGTTACCTTGTCGTCTAATAAGCAAAACTTTTGTAGCTCAAGATGAGGGAAACAGCCATGGATTCGCTAAGAGGTAACTTGTAGTACAAGCAAGGTGCAAGGCATGCAACCAGTTTTATGACAAGTATAAGAAATGTTAGGAAGATGTTGAAGAAGATGTCAGTGAAATGATTGAGGATCCTTACTCCATCACATCTCATCGCGCTGAATGTGACTGAGATTGGTAAGAACACATTCATCGTGAGCCTCTCAAACTTAGCCTCCAGAGCCGATCCTAACGGTGGACCCTCAGGTATGATGATGCCGATCATTAGTGGTCCTAAAATGTATTTCATGTTGAAAGACACAAAATAAACAGCGGAAGCGAATGCGGTCAGAATCAAGGCATGAATGTATATATCCTCCACCGGCTTGTCTTCCGGTGTGCGGTCTATGACCCATTGCACCATCGGCTTAAAAACAAGAAAGACGACGAGAAAGAAGATGATCACCGCGACAATGTCACGATATGCTGTTGCATGTGAAACATGAATGTAGGTTGCTTGTCTAGAGGCGGCTATCATGGAAAAAATCCCCAAGATGTCGTTGATGACACATGCAGACAATGCAAGGCGACCAAGCTCGGAGTTGATGATCTTGAGCTCTAGCAAGATATATGTAGTGGAAGGCAAAAGTATTGAAGACTGAGTTACGACAATCGCAGTGCGCTCGCCCAGGGCTTTATCTAGAGGCATGTAGTGAGGGTCGATGTTGTCAGAGAAAAGGTTCTGGAAACCGAGACCGAACAGAGGAGCAAAGAAGGACACAATCCCGATTACAACGGGTAGTTTTCCGCTATGGAACGCCACTCGTCTGCTGGTTCTAACAGTCATTAGAAACGTAAACATTAGTGTTCCAAACACCGAGATGCATCTTAACGCCGCAGTTCCATCTAACGCAGGATCCACCGATAGTTTCCCTGAAGATTTCTCCAGTATATCGAAAAGCTGAGGCCTAGAATTATTCCAGCCTGCACACAAATTTTTGTAAATATTATCATTTTTGGAAAAAAGTATCACATTGTCGGCTATATAAAACATTTTACGTACGTGCATGTTAAGTTACATCTACTTTTGTATTCCTAATAATTACAAATCTCTTATGTGTTTGTCAAGTTACATAAGGAAAGCTGCTTACAATCATATATGAAGCAATCTGGGAAATGCCAATGCATCTGAGGAACATGTGAGACATGACAATGCAGAAGAATATAACAATTATTTGAATCTCCAGGAGAGGCAGCGAGTACCCGAAAACTACATCGGGCGATTTTAGGTTCTCCCAAAATCCCTTAGAAGATATGTTGAAGAATGATATTCGGCAATCCCCAATGTAGGTAGTCCTGTTCATGAATATAGGCCAAGAAAGTAGCAAAACTTGGGGATGAAAATGCGTTTTTGGTGTGATAAAGTTTAAGTCTCTTGAAAATTGAAGAAAAAAAGTTCGAGTCTTTGAATTTGGGTTTTGAAAAAAGTCGTGTAGTTTTGTTGTTTAGTTTTATTTTTTCTGGTCTTTGGTAAGTATCTGTCATAATCTCTCTGGAACTAATGGAACTTTCCAAATTAGAAAACAACAAAAAATACCACAGAGAGGAAAAAAAAAAAAAAACAGTTAGTTCTTTCATTTTGTTTGTTGAAAACGTTAATCTAAAACATGGAGAATTTGCTTTGCTAATTAAAATTGCAAGCTTTGAGGTTTGATACACTGCTCCTAAATTAGCACAAAGTGTCTGTTTGGGGACCCAAGTTTTGGTCTAGATAGCTTAAAATCTGAATTTACGTTTATAGTCTAGGTAGAAATTTTTTCCAACTGCTTCGATCTATGATCTATCTAAGTTTATGATGTTTTTTTCCCACCCTGGATAACACTTATAAATTTATTTATTTCGGTCTAATAATACATATAAATTAGATTTTAATATGTGATGTACCGGAGGACGATTTGTTTTTTAAAATTAGTGATTTTTAAAATTTAATGATTATGAATTATATTGCAAATTGTATCATTTTTATAAGATATTTAGTTTTTATAGTTTACAATTGTTATTAAGTAACAGTATACTACATGACAATTTTGTTTATACAATCTTATCAAAATCAGGCTGATTCAATATGTTTAAGATTGGTGATGTTAAAAGATAATAAAATGAAGATTTAACCCGTATTAAAGCGGCGGGTTAAAAATATTTTAAATTTTTATTAATATTGATTCAAACATGTCTCGCCATATAAACTTTGTCATGCAATATAACCCGTCCCATATTATTTTAATTTTTTATATGTTCAAATGTTCATAATATTATAAACTTTTATTGATTTTAAATATATGAATTTTATTATTTCAAACTTTAAAAAATTTAAAATTTAATATTTCCAAATTAAGCAGTTTAACTAAAAATCAAATTAAACCGTATACAAACTTTTAAATTTGGATGCTTGTAAAGTTAAGCTTTTTGCTCATTTGGATCTAACATTTGATCTTATCATTTATCTTATAAATCACAAGTCACATAGCCAATAAAAATCTGCCATATCATCAAACACAATTTTTTAAGATTCCATTTTTATTCAACAAAAAAGAACATGTTTATATATATTTTTAATAAAAAAATTAGCAATTTTCAATCAAAATTAAAACTAATATTTCACGTTCATCTTAACTGCATACCACATTGCCCACTCTTCTATTACAAGCTCCACTACCCCCTCTTTAAAGAAAAAACTACCATTTTTTTTTTATTTCTTTTACACAAACCGTCATCGTATGTATATATATATATACTCACTTGGCCATTTACAAAAGGCAAAATTTTCTACTTCTCATTCATCAATTCGCTCTATTTCTTCAAATGTAAACAAAATTATTTTGTATTTATTTTTTAAAACTTCCAACGTAAATTAATTATAGTGTGAGTTCCAAGGGTATATAGAGAAAGTCAAGAAGCTCTTCAAGAGCCGAATAGTTCAGCCTCCAAGCAAGTCATTGTCCTTCCACACCATTTATATCAGCTAATTTATATTAATTACTCTCCTTCCACACCTGAATTTCAAATTAAGATCTTGCATTGCTTTTTGGATCAATTATGATTGTTAGATTCTGAAATTAAAAAATAAAGAAAAAGATCGTTTTGTTTATAGATCACATTTTAAGTTGAAGCAGAAGGCATAGGGCATAGAGTCATATATCATATATGAATCCAATATATTTTCCAAATCCTTTAAAAATAATCTGACTTTTTTTCTTGAGAAAATTAACATATATGCCAAATTTGGCCCAATTCTTTTTCTTTCTACCACATTGCAGGCCCATTTATCACTCATACCATAATTGAGGTGTGTAATGACCATTTTTCCCTTTCTTTTGTTTGCTCAAACTTCGGGGACAAAATTTATTCTTTGAGCACACAAACTGAAGTTTACATACAGTTTGTCCCCGAAGTTTGAGTCTTCCACAATTTCATCTTATTTTTGCATGTTAGCTGGTTTTTGTCTCTCAATTTTAATTCATTGTTCTTGGATTTTAGTATGTAAACTCTAATTGTGGTTTTTTCATTTTGTTTGATGTTTATATTTCGTTTGATTATTGTCCCCGAATGGGTTTATTGTCCCTCAGATACTTGTTCCTAAATGTTACATTTTATCTGCCACATCAGCTGAGGAAAAAATCGTCTTTTTTATACCACATTCATGTGGTATGAGTGGAAAAAGATTATCAAATGTGGTAGAAATAGAAAGGCTTTGGTCAAATGTGGTAGAGTTGACCAAATTCCCTTTTTTTCTTTTAATCTCCATGATCACCTCTAGGCTCTAACACCATATAAAAAAAATCAAATTAATTTATATGAGAATCAAAACATTTCCAATTATTTCCACGAGATCCTTACAATGATATATCAAACAACCTCATTACCTCAATATTTGGGAGAAAGTTTTTTTTTTCCAATCAAAATTGACTTTATTGCAAAAAATTTGTATTTCAATTTATCTTTTCCGTACGTAGTATGAGTAGAATACTAGTTTATAAGATAACTCTGAAACATTTTAGCCAATGTGGGATGTTGAACACACATTTTTCTATTAATTGAGTAATATATGTCCATTTTTTAAATTTCGAATCACAATATATGTAAAAAAATTGAGATTTTTCTTAATTTTATTTATTATATGATGATTCAAAACAGTTAAAAAATCAAACAAAGATAATATGAGAATCATAATTTTATATCTTAACAAAACCTTCTAAATATCTATATTGTTAGTTATGGATTATCCGGTGTAAGAGTTCGGTTTCTTATAATCCGATCCAAAGAAAAATGTGTGAAGTATATTTTGTAACTCGTCGATACCAAAAATCTCCCATAAATTTTTAAACCACCCGGTACAAAATATACTTCAAAAATTCTAATATAGATTTATTTATTCTGGGTCTAATAATACTTGAAGAGTTGAATAACTTGGCTGAGAAATGTTAAAAATAACTCGGCTGAGAAATGTTAAAAATAATTGTTAAAATGAATGACTATTTTCACATGTTAAAATTTTCTAAAAGTTTCTCCTAAAAGAATGCATAGTCCTGCGATCAAAACATGTCAGGTTTGTTGTTGTTGTTGTTGAACTACTAAAACCGAGATCTTAGAGCTTAGATCTCTAGCCGCCAGCAAATCCCCGATGACACCTAACTCTGGTAGTTCGACCCATTCCATTAGTCCTGATAAGTCTTGTGATGTCATATCATGATCTCTGCCAACCACCATAAGATCGTACTCTTTTGCAAGCAATTGGACAGCTTTGACTACCTCAACACCACTGTTCACTATCCTCTCTGTATAAACAATATCTTTGTTGTCTTCAGTACTCATCAAATCCTTTATGCCTTCGTTATCAAGAATATAGTCCCAATCTGACTCTATTTCATGGTTGAAGATGAGTCGAATCAGGGTTACACGAACCCTCGGGTTATGTTTCATCCTCTTCACCAATGATAGTGCCTCCCTATCGTCTTTGCCTCCAATGAATAGTACACCGACATCAATGTTGTACCTATACTTGCTTGTTACATTGCTTTTCCGCGAGAACTGTCCCCGATCTACTAGAATGCCTATAGAACAAGGCGCACTATCGAGTAATGACTTGTTTATATGTCTTATGGCATTGTCGTCAGACTCAAAGATCCCATCTATGGTCCATTTCCTCCCCGATGGGACGATAATCATCGATGTCGTCCGGTCAAGTGCAAGTGTGCAAATGTCTTCGTGCATCAAGTTCTCATGCGAGAAAGCGGTGAACGTTGTCACGGTTACAGACGCTAAGGTTTCTTCCATGAACTGTCTAAAGGCAAGGTTTGCGGTATGGATGTACGAGTTTTTGTGAAGCCTTTTCAACTTCTTGTCGTGTGAGACTATGATAGGGTTGATCTGACCAACTAGCTTCACAAGGTGGAGAACTGTGACCGTGATAAGGAAGTCAAGGTTCGGTGAGGACAACAATTGAAGGAGTGCAATGGTCTCAGAGACGTTTTCTTGTTTGTACAAACAAGTTAGAATTCGAAGATCTGAGTTTGGTTCTAGATGCAATATGTCCCTTTTCTGGTAATTAACGTACTTTCGTTTCGGATCGTACATGCTCCTTAAGACCATAGGAACAATCCCTGCATTTAATAGTGAATATATGATTAAGAACGCGTAAGTGGCCAGCGATATCAACTGCAAAAACAAACCATAAAAATATGTTTAGATTTACGACAAAATCAATACTAACAATAATAGACTCGTTTGCGGGTTAGGAGGTTACCTTTTCCTCTAATACAGATTCATAGAGAACGAATTCAACAAAACTTTTGTAGCTCAAGATGAGGGAAACAGCCATGGATTCACTAAGAGGTAACTTGTAGTACAAGCAAGGTGTAAGGCATGCGACCAGTTTTATGACAAGTATAAGAAATGTTAGGAAGATGTTGAAGAAGATGTCAGTGAACTGGCTAAAGATCCTTACTACATCACATCTCATTGCGCTGAATGTTATTGAGATTGGTAAGAACACGTTCATCGTGAGCCTCTCAAACTTAGCCTCCAGAGCCGATCCTAACGGTGGACCCTCAGGTATGATGATGCCGATTATTAATGGTCCTAAGATGTATTTCATGTTGAAAAACACAAAATAAGCCGCTGAAGCAAATACAGTCAGAATCACGACATGAATATATATATCCTCCACTGGCTTGTCTTCGGGTGTGCGGTCTATGATCCATTGCACCATCGGCTTAAAAACAAGAAAAACGATGAGAAAGAAGATGATCATTGCGACAATGTCACGATAGGCTGTTGCATGTGAAACATGAATGTAGGTTGCTTGTATAGTGGCGACCATCATGGCAAAAATCCCCAAGATGTCGTTGATAACACATGCAGACAATGCAAGGCGACCAAGCTCGGAGTTGATGATCTTGAGCTCTAGCAATATATATGTAGTGGAAGGCAAAAGTATCGAAGATTGAGTTATGACAATCGCAATGCGCTCGCTCAGGGCTTTATCTAGAGGCATGTAGTGAGGGTCGATGTTGTCAGAGAAAAGGTTCACGAAACCGAGACCAAACAGAGGAGCAAAGAAGGAAACGATCCCAATCACAACGGGCAAATTTCCGCTATGAAACGCCACTCGCCTGCTGGTTCTAACAGTCATTAGAAACGTAAACATTAGTCTTCCAAACACCGAAATGCATCTTAACGCCGCAGTTCCATCCAACGCAGGATCCGCCGATAGTTTCTCTGAAGAATTCTCCAGTAAATCGAAAAGTTGAGGCCCTAGAATTATTCCAGCCTGCACATAAATTTATATATATTATTTATTTTTTGGAAAACTATCTTCAATAGCACGCATTATCTTCTATATGCCTTAAACAATTTACGTGCATGTCAAGTTACATCTACTTTTGTATTTCTATTAGCTACAAATCTCTTATGTGTCTGTCAAGTTAAATATGGAAAGCTGCTTACAATCATATATGAAACGATCTGGGAAATGCCGATGCATCTGAGGAACATGTGAGACATGACAATACAAAAGAATATAAGTATTATTTGAATCTCCAGGAGAGGCAACGAGTACCCAAAAACTACATCGAGCGATTTTAGGTTCTCCCAAAATCCCTTAGAAGATATGTTGAATAATGATATTCGGCAATCCCCAATGTAAGTAGTCGTGTTCATGAATATAAGCCAAGAAATTAGCAAAACTTGTAGATAAAAATGCCTTTTTTTGTGTGATAAAATTTAAGTCTCTTGACAAAAAGACGAAAAAAAAATTCGAGTCTTTGAATTTGGGTTTTGACAAGGAGCGTGTTAGTTTTGTTGTTTTGTTTTGGTCAAGTCTTTGATAAAGTATTTGTCATCATCTCTCTGGAACTAGTGGAACTTTCCAATTTAGAAAAAAAAAAAGTCCACACAGAGGAGAAAAAAAACTGTTAGTAATTCTTTCATTTTGTTTGTTAAAAAAAAAGTAAATTTAGAATTTGCTTTGCTAATTAAAATTGCAAGCTTTGAGATTTGATACACTACTCTAAAATTAGCACAAAATGTCTGTTCAGGAACCCAATTTTAGGTCTAGATATCTTTAAATCCGAATTTACAATCACACTCTACAAATATTTTCCAACTGCTTCAATCTATATAAGTTTACTTATGATGTTTTCTCTTTCGCTGGATAAATACTATTGAAAACATGTATTACTATATCTGTTCTTGTCAGAAATTAATATCACATCAAAGAGTTGTATTGAAAACTTACAAGTATATCACGATCCTCAACTACAATTAATGAAAAAAAAAAAATTCTCTAACATTTCGTTAACAAAATTATTTTTCTGTCTTAAAAAGTTACCATTTTCATTGACGAACTTATAGTCAAAACAAAAATTCATTAAAATTTAGTTGAGATTTAATATGAATTTAGTGTTATTTGAATTATTATTATTTTTTTTATACATCTAAAGAAAATTTATTGAATATCAGAAGTAGCATTTTTACAAACCAGCGTAATTGAAATCTCCGGAAACTGAACCGGTGGAATTGAAATCTCCAAACACTAAACCGGCGGATATAAAAATCCCAAAAAAACAAAGTCGGTGGTAAAAAAAAATTCGAACGGGCCGTGGGCTTCAATTAACATTATCGGCCCATTAAACAACTATATAAATAACCCTAAAGTTAGTAGCTGTTTCACATCAATTTCAATCTTGTGTTGTGTCCTCGTCTCGCATCCATCAGCCACGAAACAACAACTCTTCGCGTCTCTCTCGCTCGAATCTACGAATTTGTTTAGTTACTCTTTGTCTACTAATTCATTCTCTGCAGGATCTTCTAATCTGTTTCGTATTATATATCAATCTCTATCGTTTTTTGTTTTGGATTTTCTCTGTGATTTTGTATAATGGATTCAGGTATCAACACTTCTTCTCGCTTGAACCCTCAAGCTCGATGCCCACTTCAACGAAACTTCCTCCCCAAGAATACTTCCAAAGAAAACGTATGTTTTTTTATTTGCTTATGAATTAGGGTTTCGTTTTTTGGGCTTTGTTCAATTCTTCTGAAATCGATTCCATTATTTGATTCCGTTCTGTTTTTAACAATTAGGGTTTCGATTTTCATCTGTTTAGTGTTTCATACAATTGTTGATTCTTCTGGTTTTGTCATAAAAATCGTTTTTTTTTGGTTATGTCATAAAAATCGTTTCTTTTTGTGATATTGAATGAATTTGTTGTACTGATTGATTTGCTTATGTCTTTCCAACAGCCTGAGAGATTTATACCAAACCGATCAGCCATGGATTTCGACTATGCCCACTTCCAGCTTACGGAAGGAAGAAACGAGAAAGACGAGGCAACAAAGGTAAGATCATCACCATCAAGAGAAGCTTACAGGAAGCAATTAGCTGAGACAATGAATCTGAATCGGACCCGGATTCTCGCCTTCAGGAACAAACCTCAAGCTCCGGTCCAGTTACTTCCCAGAGAGCACTCTGTTTATTCTCTTTACCAACAACCTAAATCCGTAAAGCCGCGAAGATACATCCCTCAGAATTGCGAGAGAGCGTTGGATGCACCTGATATTGTGGATGACTTTTACCTTAACTTGCTTGATTGGGGCAGTGCTAATGTTTTAGCTATAGCTTTGGGTCGTACTGTGTATCTATGGGATGCTTCTAATGGTTCTGTTTCTGAGCTTGTGACTGTTGATGAAGATATGGGACCTGTTACAAGTATTAATTGGGCGCAAGATGGTCTTAATCTCGCGGTTGGGCTTGATAACTCTGAAGTCCAGCTTTGGGATTCTGTAGCTAGTCGTAAAGTGAGAACGTTGAAGGGTGGTCACCAGTCAAGAGTAGGATCATTGGCGTGGAACAATCATATCTTAACAACGGGAGGTATGGATGGGAAGATTATTAACAACGATGTACGGGTTAGATCTCACGTTGTGAAAACTTACAGGGGTCACACTCTTGAGGTTTGTGGGTTGAAGTGGTCAGAGTCTGGACAGCATTTAGCAAGTGGTGGAAACGACAATTTGGTTAACGTATGGGAACATTCTACCAGGCGGTCTTTGCATAGGTTTGAGGAACACACATCTGCGGTAAAAGCTCTGGCTTGGTGCCCTTTTCAATCAGGTTTACTTGCAACTGGTGGTGGTGGAGAAGATAGGACGATAAAGTTCTGGAATACTCGAACAGGAGCTTGCTTGAATTCGGTAGACACTGGCTCACAAGTTTGTTCTTTGATATGGAGCAAGAAGGAAAGAGAGTTGCTTAGCTCACATGGGTTTACTCAGAACCAGCTTACACTTTGGAAGTACCCATCCATGGTGAAAATGGCTGAGCTCAATGGTCATACATCACGCGTTCTATATATGTCACAGAGTCCGGATGGTTGTACCGTAGCTTCAGCAGCAGGGGACGAGACTCTGAGGCTTTGGAATGTTTTTGGAGTACCAGAGGATGCTAAAAAAGCTGCTCCAAAAGCAGTTCCCCAACCATTTTCTAATGTAAATCGTATTCGTTGAAACTGTTGTGAAGCCATTGTATGTGCTATTTTCTAATGTTTATTTTTCTAGGATTCATTCTTCATCAACTGTATTGATTATCCAAGTGCATATATTTACTTAATTACTCTCTTTAATCTTTGTCACTAAGTACAAACACTCTTTTAACTTAAAATCTTGTGAGAGATTTAAGACAATGAGCAAGAAGATGAGAACAATATGCATATCAAGCTAATTAAGGCAACGAATAGTAGAATACTTAGTTAACTAACTTTGGTTCAACGAAACCAACAGCGAACCAAACCCAAATATAGGTTCTTGATTTCTATAAATTTAATTTAATTTTAAAAAGTTATATTTATATATGTATGACTATGTGTATTATTTTTCCTTCAATAAGTTTTGTTAATGTTATTTTTCCATTACAATTACCATATAAAAAGAAGGAATAAGCATGATCATGACTTTGTAGGGTATCAAAAGAAAAGAAAAAAAAAAAAAGATTTTCTCGTACAATCGAATTTTTTCTTGTCTGAAAAAAGATAAAAAAAAGTAATTTAATAGTCTTGAAATAATTTGTAAGCAACACCAAGTATTGGACTTTTGCTTTAAGGAAAAGACCAATTAATAGAGAGTATACAATCTATATATAATCACTCTTAACTTTTCCCTTAAGTATAATAAATTATAACCATTAGTACATGAAAATATATTATTAAATTGCATACGGAAGAGTAAGATTTTGAGTTCTAAGTATCTATACTAGTATTTTTGAAGTAAACTTTTAGCGGATGGGACAAAATGCATTTAGATATAATGAATATCCGACCTGTTTACAAATTTTGGTCATAAAACGTTTGTTGGTCGGATTATATTTAACCCAACTCATACACCGGATATTCCGTATTTAATAATTTAGATATTTAGAAGATTTGATTAAGTTTTAAAATTATGATTCTCCTATCATCTTTGTTTGTTTTGTTTTTAATTGTTTTGAATCATCATATAATACATTAAGTTAAAAAAAATCAATTTTTTTTTGCATATACTGTGATTTGAAATTTAAAAAACGGACATATATTATCCAACTGACGAAAAATGTGTGTTCAACGTTCCACATCGACTAAAATATTTAGACAATGATTCGAAATCATATCATAAATAAAATAAATATTAATAAAATAAATGAGTTTTTTAGGAGGAAGGGTTTGGCGGGATAGGTTTTTGAATCAACAATAATAAAAAAATTAAAATATCATTAATCCGCCGCTTCAATACGGATTTAATTTTTTTTTTTTAATAACACTAATATTAGACATAACAAATTAATCAGTCTCATTTAGAAAAGATTATACAAAACCAAAAATCCCGTGGTATAATGTCTTAGAGAATGATACAATTTGCAAACTTTTAGATATAATAAATAATCGTTAAAATTTTAAAATTACTACTTGTAGAAAAAAAATCAGGGAACGGATTAAAAAATTATAGGACGGATTATATTTCGGAACGGAGTTATATGGTGGACGGATTTGAATCAATATTTATAAAATTATAAGATATCATTAACATGCTGCTTTAATACAGATTAAATCCTCAGTTTATTAAAATATAAATATCGTAGAGAATGATACAATTTGTAAAATTTTATATATTAACATGCTACTTTAATACAGATTAAATCCTCAGTTTATTAAAATATAAATGTCGTAGAGAATCATTAAATTTTAAAGTCACTACTTTTAGAAAACAAATTACGGGACGGGTTATATTTCGGAACGGGTATATATGCCGGACGGGTTTGAATCAATATTTATAAAATTTTAAGATATCATTAACATGCCGTTTTAATACGGATTAAATCCTCAGTTTAATAAAATTTATCCCGTAGACTCATGGTCTATCGTTACTTAATAACAATTGTATACTATTTGCAAAATTTGCAAAATTTTATATATAATAACTTTAAAAAATAAATCATTCTGCGGTATACCGCGGGTTAAAATCTAGTATAATATTACAATTATAGCACAAGTGAAATGACCATCGTAATACTTATGATAGTGCGCATGTAAATGTGCACTTTAGTTACCCTTCAATTTGTCACAAATTATATTCATGTATACTTTTATATATTTTTTGTAAATTTATACCCATCTATGTAATATATGAAAGTAATAAGAGAAACTTAAACAAAATTTCCCCTCCACATCAATTTAGTAAATAATTTTTTTGGTTATAATTGTTTTCCCAGTTCCCACCAAATTTGGGTGTCCATCTACTAATTTGAAAGTCGAAAACACACCATATCATTGTTTCAAAACTATTATTTGTCAATTTACCATCGCAGAATATTATATGTAAAATTTTAATGAAATATGACTATTATTCAAAAAAAAATTGTGTTGTTTTTAAACTTAATAATTTTTTCTCTACTTGTAATTATTTTTGAAAAGATATTTAGATAGAATTTTTTTTAAAAAATTACAAAATTAGTAAAGTCTCTCTATAAATTAATAATTATTAATTTATCGATAAATTAATAATTATTAATTTATCGATAAATTAATACCTCTCTAAATTAATAAAATTTTATAGTCCCAATATTATTAATTTATAGAGGTTTTACTATAAATAAAAAATTCAGGAGGCCCATGCAATAATATTTAGCGTTTAGCAAATAGACAAAAGATCCGGTTTAAGATCTTCAGGACCCACCCGGACTCCAAATACCAAAATAAAACATCAAATCCTTTCCGGTTGTTGGCTTACCCGTCGACTTTCCGGTTCCCACTTCCCACTTCCCACCCATCTCCCCTTGAAAAATAATATTCAATATTGCATTAATATACCTTAAAAAAACTTTTAATCATGAATATACCTTCAAGTTTCCAAATTCAATTAAACACCCCCAAATTATAGACCTCTTTAAGTATTAAATAAATTAAACATTAAACATAGTATTTTTATACATCACATTTCCTTAAAAAAAAATCACATTGCCTTTAGATTTACTATTTTACACCAAGGTGAAAATGGATTACAAAAAAAGAAAGACAAAACACTCCAACAGTTTTACATTCATGGAGCCAAAACATGAATGTGACATTGGGTTTAGAAAACAAAAACAAGAAACCAATAAGCAAAAACAAAAGAAAAGTAAATAGTAAAACTCTCTCACTTGGTAAAAAAACTCATGTTTGAGTATGAGTTAAACCAGGGGGAGTTTCATTCCCATCACTCTCTAAATCTAAACCCTAAATGGATCAGATTCACTCTCCACAACTTTAAATCAAGCTCTATTTACAGAAAACTGACTAAAAAGATCACTCTCACTAGTACCCTAAGTGAGATTAATACTGAAAAAGTGATCTTGTATATGGTATATTGGAAAGACTATATATTAGTATTTTGTTGAGTAAGGATCAAAGATCAGTAGCAGCTCGGGCCGGCTTAATGTTTGGTTAATGGAGAAGAAGTTTCTGATACTTAGTCTCTGAATAAGTTTCATCTGAGATTGAGAATGCCCTTTTCTTGTTGGAGTTCCCACAACCATTGTTCAGAAACTGAAGTGGTGGGATGGTGACAGGAGGAATCTCGGAGGTCTCGAGTGGAGGCGGTGGGTGGCGCCATTGAGGCAGAGGACCGGCTAAGAGGAGTGTTTGAAGCAAAGGACCTGCCTTGATAACAGCTTGTAAGAGTTTTCCCTTTTCAGGCAGTGGCTTTTCAGGCAACAATGTAGCCATCAACTCATCTCCTGAGACTTCAATCTGTTGGTTCATTGTCACCGGATCAATCACTGATGGTGACATGATGCTTTCTTCGGTGTCTGAAGACGAAAAGCTCTTGTTTGAGTTAAGCTGCGGCTGCTGTGGCTGTACTTGCTCGTCTTCAATAATGCTTGAAGCTCCTGATAAAGGAGGAGTGATAAGTTCTTGTTTCTGATTCTGTTGCTGTTTCTGTTGAAGTAAGAGATTGTTTAGGAGGAGATGATGACATTTCTCTAGAGCATCGTCTCTTTCTTTGAGGGTTTTGGTTAATACATCTTCTAGATGGATCAATTGTTCATCTCTCTTCCTTAGTTCATCTTGAGCCACCAGCTTTGTTTGTTCTAGCTCCATTGTTGTGTACACAAGAGTCTGTCTTAGCTCTTCCGTTGTCTGAACAATTCCACAGAAAAAAAAAAAAAAAACAATCAGACACAAGAACAGAGAAACCCCTAAATTTGAGCATTTATTTGCAGATTCATATCAAAATTAGGGTTTTGGTCACAAAACACAACAAATTTCCCCCAAAAGTCTTGTCTTTTCCAGATTAATTTACATACAAAATGCAGATTCAAACAAAGGAACAGAGAAACCCTAAATTTGAGCAGAAATGTCCCCAAAGTCTTGTCTTTACCAGCTAATTAACTTAAAAATGCGAAATTTAGACTAAAATTTTGAGATTAAGAACACCCATTAAGCAAAATTAAGCTAAGAAAATGGCAAATGTATCCAAACAGCCAAAATTAAAGGATTTTAGTAACACAGTAACAGAGTATGAGTGTTTTATGCAAATTTGTCATAAAAATCAGAAATTGATGCAAACTTAGAGTATAATCACACAAACGAAGAAGAAGAAATAAGAAATTTATGATTTTGGACACACATTATGCATAGATCTAAGAAAAATAGTGAACCCATCACAAAAGTTCAGAAAAAAAACAGAGGAAGCCAAAATGATGGAAGAAAAAGTCTCTACCTTTCCATGAGAGAAGTAAGTCCAGCTAAGAAGAGCATTGCTTTGGTCCATGAGATATTACTAAAATTAAGAGATCTTTAGATTATGTAATGGGTTTAAGTCTATGGAAGAAGAAGGAAGAAGAGGGAGAGGGTTATAAAGTAGTGAAACTTCATGGACTGGTTAAAGGAAGCATATGCCTGTCAAATAGAGAGCTTTCAACACCTTTTATCTTCAGTATCCAATATACAATTCTACAAAGTTAAAACCCCACCCACATTATATTATTATTAATATTATATTCATTATGTTTGTTAATTTATGAGAAATTGTAAAATATAAACTTGATATCACTTATTACGAAAGGATTAGAAAATTATGATTAACTATATGTATGTTTCATTTAAATAGATTATCATGTATTAGATATTATAGAGTATAGACTATAGACTATCATTTACACCAAAAATTGAAAATTTATCAAATAACATAACTATAAACCGTGGAATTTACAAATGTATAAGTAATCTACTGGTTTGTCCGATGTCGTTGGTTATGTTATTACTCGGGTTCAAGTCTATAGTATAAAACATATTGTTGATAGTAATAAAAATGAAATTTATAAAGGCTTTGATTGGTGAACAAAAATAAAGTATTACAAGTAGTACAATTTTTATTTTTACCAATCACAAAATTTTTATCAAAAACGTTACTAAAAATTTTACTTTCAGTTTTTTTTTGTACAATTTTTTGTACAGCTCTTTCATACAGTTTTCCATTATTCCGGTAAATCTTACAGCTCCAACTAACAGCTAAAAACATGTTATATATTTTGGTTACCAATCAGACGCAGAGTTTATAAAAGTAATATTTTAAAGGTCAAAAAAAAAAAGTTCAATATGTTCGAATAAAAAAATTCTTGTGATTAATGATCGAACGTCTGAAACAACAGTGGTCGCTTCATATTTATTATTCAAAACCTAAAACAATATTAGTTTTCAAAATGTTTACATAAAATGAAAATATAACTTTCGTAGTAAAAAAAAAATGTTAGTGGCACTAAAAATATAAATTTTACTTAAGAATTTCATGTCCTTAAAAACGAAAAAGAAAAGGGTGATAAGATCTTTTGTTTAGCCAGTTTATTATTCGAATTGGTTTGTGCACCAAAATAAATAATACATTTAACTTTTATAATAGTTGGTTTTAAATTTATGTAAGAGGCAATAGTACATTTAAAATTCTACAAAATAAAAATTAGTTACTTCCACAAAAGTTTTTTTTTTCCTTCTAATAGTTACAGTGATCGAACTATTTATTTACTGTTCCTACTAAGTACTTAAGCATATGTCAAGGGTTAAGGGTTTGGTGCAATGACCAATTCCGTAGTTTACGTACTTTCTGGGTCTCATTTTCTTGGAGTATTTTTGTTTTCTTCCATCGTGTTGTCAATGGATACAACAGCATTTCTTTGTCTTTTACCCAAAGACGAAACAAGTTTACGAGAGTAATGTCTTCATATCACACCCATTTCACACTGGGGTTATTGTCTAAATAGGCATTTGTTCCTAAAAAACTTTGAAATTAGGCATTTTTTTCCGTGGTATCGATTTTAGGCATTTTTGGAGAGAGACAAATGACGGTTTTACCCCTGTTTCTCCCCGCCTTTGTCGTAATCGCTTCTCACCGTCTTCATCGTCTTTGCTCGCTTCTCACCGTAATTCCATCGTCTTTGCTCGCTTCCCACCGTCTCCATTACTGCTCACTTTTCCGGCCATAACCGTCGCTTCTCATCGTCTTAGTCGCTTCATTAACATCAACTCCATCACCACCATCGTCTTCATCTCCGACTCACAAAACATCTCTGCCACCAACACCATCTCCTCCGATGAATTCAATAAATTCAATTGATTGTGTTTTGAATAAAGAAATCTAAACCCTAAGGAGATATAGTGTATAGTGAACCCAAGGGCTCTAATTTTAAACATTGATCGTTTTCAAATTTTCTTAAATTAATTAACCCAAACTCAAAATTTTGATGTTATTGTTTACAAAGCGAATCAAAACCTCCAATTCATCTTCAAATTTGAGAACAATCTAGGAGCAAAAATGGAAGAAATTAGGGATTTTTGTTACCATTGAATTAGAAAGACATGAAGTGTAATATTGCAGATCGGACACAAATTTATCCGCCGCTAATGCCATCTCCAATGAGTTCAATGTATTCAATTGATTCAATTAGGTTCGTTTGAATTAAGAAAACTAAACCCTAGGAGTATCTACTAAACCCAAGGGTTTCAATCAAAACTTCCAATTTTATCTTTAAATCTAAACAAAAAATTTCTTCTGATCTCATCACCACCATGAGAAGCTGCGGCGGTCTATAGGAGCAGAGGACTGCGGAGATACAAAGCCATGGATTAGATGTTTTTTCGTTCTTCTGTTAATTGCTATGCGCCGTTATTTCTCTTCATCCACTAATTTTGGCAAATCGAGATGCTCAGAACACGTGAAAGAAGCAATGAGAATCGACCGGAGGAGACAGAGTTCCGAAGGCGAGAGATGGTGAGAAGAGAAGCTGAAGTCTCCGCCACAACCACAACTCTGCAACGTTTTCGTCTAATGAAGGACAGAATTGTAATTTGGCCATCAGAAAAATACCTAAATACATAAGACCGGATAAAGAGTCCGAAATTGGTAATTTTTGTGGGAAAAAAGCCCAATCCGGTAATTGATTCTTTCACACTACAAGTCTACACCGAGAAGAATTCTCTATTTCAATATTTAGTTTTCTTCGCATGTGTGTGTATATATGCATTTCATTATGTATGTGCAGTACTGTGTATGTGTAACTCAGACACGCACCTTTTTTTATTTGAATCCGAATTAAGACACGATAATGGTATTTATATAAATTATAGGCTAAAAATTCCGGTCTAATTAGAATTGTTTCATTATTTTATTTTAAACAATTGTTTTTATGGGAAAAACAAAGTGTCCACTTGAGAAGAGTACTAGTAGATACATTTCTTAAAATATTAATTATGCATATATTTTACATATGATTCTTAATTTCTATATTGAAATCGAGGTTACAAAAGATCTAGCAGAGTCATATTTTTAATCTAAGTGGACTTACACTGTTTCACATTGCTTTAAGTTTACTTTTTCTCCTCTTAAGACTTTTTTTATTTTGAACAAAAATCTTATATATTTAAGAAATGAAAAAAAAAAAAAAAACATAGAAGCAGAACTTCCCGTAAATTTTCCATTGCTGTGGATCTCATTGCGAATTATTTTCCAAAATTCATAGTAGTCATATCAAATTTTACGGTGATACTGAATAATAATTCTTAAATGTTATTAATTCACATATTTATATATATCCAGCTTTACAAGGAAAGTGGTCAACAAACATTTCTGGTAGACTTTGGACCAATTATGTTTTTTTCCATAGAAAAATTTATCGATAATAATAGTAAGTAATCTCCAAAAATCATGTGCATGCAGCACCAACCAAAGAAAGTCACAGGTTTTGTCTATATGAAGGAAACAGGTTTTGTCGCCGGCCTATATTTATTGAAATACATATATTTTGAAAATAAGGAAAATATAATTTGACTTGTGGATTGTGGGTGTTTATTTTTGAAATTTAAGAAAAAATCTGACTAAATCAGATGAAAAGTAATTTTACCTATAAAAAGAAAAAGAAAATTATTTCGATAGAAGATCTCAAGGATTTCATTGTGTAGTTGTAGTTGTATGGATCGTTTATACATGTACAGAGTCAAAGATGATGTGGATTCCATTGTCAGCAAAAGAAGCTGGTAAGTAAACATTTTCCACCAATATTTTAAAAAGTTTATGGAATCCCTTTTCAATTATGAATCTCCACACCAGTCTTGGCTCCCAAATTTTCACTTTGGTATTTAATATTTTCAATATCTAAACAAAAAAATAAATTTTCTAAACTGTATTCCATAAAAAAAAATTGAAATCATTCGATGATAGTTAGTCGAAATTACTGTGTCATTTTTTTTCGGTACGCAAAAAGCGATAACTTAGAGAGAATTAAAAAATAAAGCAAGTAACCATAAAACTTTAATAATGTAAATATAGCCTTTGATGTTCACATTTGTTAATATAAAACTCTGGCTAGAGAGATACTTACCAAAAAAAAAAAAACTCTGGCTAGAGAGATACTTTTTGCATAGTCAACCAACTTTCTCGCTATTTAACTAATTTAGAATCTTTTTCAAAATTAATTTGATTGTATACTATAATGATTTATGGTTACCATCCAACATTTTTAATGTGTAGTGATACATACATCAAAACAACAAAATGTTTTTTTTTTTTTGGTAATCAACAACAAAATGTTTTTGAAGTGGATAAACATAATTTAAAAAACGAATTCCGTTATAATAGACCGCAAGATGAGAAATAATGTTTTTAATATTTTTTTCCTAAACAAAATTGAAAGATTATTATAGAAACTGTGTAGTAATTTCATGTATATTGAAGCATTTTGTTGGTACCATTTAAATCTTTGATTTGTTGTGATACATTCATTGAAACAAACAAAATCTGTTCAAACGTAGTAAAAAGATAGAGACCTCAACAAATTATTTCTTAGATTAAAGAAAATGGTAAACAGACTAATACGAAACTTTCAAAAAATAACTTGATCCTTAAACAACTTTCACACGTTAGACTTGTACTCTTGAAACCTTCAACGGTTGGAGGTCTCAGTCAATCGAAAATGCTAATATTTCTCTAATTTATTTTCATATATGAAAATTTTAACCAAATATTACTTTTTAGTGATGCATAACACAAAGAAATAAGAAATTTGATAAATTAATGCTCTATGGTATGAAAATGAAATTAGAAAATTTCCAAATGAATAAATGGGTGTAAACAAAATTTGATGAAATTCTTTTTTCTATTATTATTGAATGATAAACAAATATTTTACATAATAATTAACAAAATAAAGATTTATTTTTGCAAATTAAAATAAGAAATTAATTTATTTCCAAATATTTTTAAGAACGTTTATAAATTTATCTTCGTTATAGTTAGCAACAACATAAGATATAATGATTTTTTAAAAATGCTAAGAAACTGAAAATTTGTTAGTAATTAATTTATATACAACGTATGTTATATATTTTGAAATCGTCAAAAAATCAACTTTCAAATTGAATGAGTAATTTTTCTGGGTCAACAAAAGAGTTTAATTAATGTCCACTTTTTTCTAAT